AATGCAAATCAAATGGGTTTCATGCAACCCGATAAAAGTATGATACATTTACACGAACCGGATGAGGACATACAGCTAAGACGTCTTGAGAGCCACATCTTTCCCAAGAAAACTCTAGGGTTTCCCTGCCTCCCGCCGGCGCCGCAGTCGGTCCGCGTCATCTTCGGTGGCCTTAGGTCCATGGCGGCGTAGTGGATCTCGGCCCTTGCCGACGGGAGGGCTCTGTTTCAGTTGTTCATTCATATTTTGTTTGGGGTTATGTCCTGCACTCCTGCTCAGTTAGACGAGATGGCGGCGGCTCCCTGAAGATGAAATAAGGTTCTCCTCGCCTATCTCATGTCCTAATGGTGTGTCTACCACCATCGATAGACGTGTAGAGATGTGTCTCCGACGGATCTATCCTTGGTGGATTTGCTCGGACCTAGTCATAGTTCGTCTACGTTCACGTGTTTTCAACTTGGATCCTCCCGATCTACGCTACTCTTCGTCGGCCGAGGTTGTTGTTCTTCTGTGCTGGTCCTATGGGGCCCTACCACGACGAATTTCCGACTGTCTACTACAACAAATTTTGCCTGGCTTCAGCGAGGGAGGGGCAATGACGGTGGCACGCCTTCGGCTCGCTTACGTGCTTGTGGTCGTTGCTAGGTGGTCTACGGATCAAGATGTTATTTTTATTATTTCTGATATTCGTTGTACTGCCATGATTGAAGATGAATAAAGGGTTGAGTTGTTGCTCTAGAGGGTTGAGTTGTTCCCCCAAACATACCCCAAAAAAACTGCCCATGTATGTCTGACGTGACGCAACCCAAACAAAATTGATAGAAAAAGACAAGAAAAAGGAAGTCGGGGATACAAGGACCGCAGGGGCTATATCTCGCCCATACCGATTTCTTATAGGAGTCGCTAACGGGTGAGCTAGGTGTTGTTGTAGTTGTTCGCTTGCGTGTCGCAATGGTCGCTCGCTGTGGTCTGGTTTTTTATTTCTTTTTTCTTTGTCTTTCACCTTTTTCTTTTTTTCTTTGTCATACTTTGCTTTTCACTGGTTTTCTTTCCTTTCTTCTTTATACTTTGGTTTTTTGTTTCTTCTTGGTGTTATTTGGTTTTTCTTTTGCTTGTTTTTTGCTTCTTTGTTGAGTGTCTTGATTTTTTGTTGGTTTTTACTTTTTTCAACACATGTCTATTAGGAATTGGTTGCTTTGCTTTTTTTTTGGTTTCTTTTCAGGCCCCCCCTATTTTCCTTTGTTTTCTACAATTTTTTAGCCTTCCTTTTTTGTTTCTTTGTGGTTTTATCGGTCTACTTTTTTCAACTCAATGTCTACTTTTTGTCGGTATACAATGTACATTTGTAGAGCAGACATCAAACATTTCTGATACATGTTGATTTTTTTCTTAAAAAATAAATATTTTGAACACTTTTCAAGATACACGGTAACTTTTTCCAAATAGATTTGTACATTTTTTAACATGATTAATTTTTTTATGTACACAAGCATATTTTTACAATTTATAAATATTTTTTGTACACATCATTACATTTTTTTGTAGATATAGTTAGCATGTTCTCCTTCTCTTTGTTTCACTTTCGTACATTTTTTGTGTATGATAAACATTTTTCTTACACATGATTAACAATTTTCGTACAAATGATTAACATTTTGTACTTCTATTTGTTTCACTTTTGTATATTTTGTGTGTGTATGATAAATATTTTTTGTACACATGATTAACATTTTCGTATAAATGATGAACATGTTCTACTTTTCATTGTTTCACTTTTGTATTTTTTTTCTATGTATGATAAACATTGTTGCACACATCATTTACATTTTTCGTACAGATGATTAACATGTTCTAATTTTCTTTGTTTGACTTAAGTACATTTTTGTGTGTATGATAAACATTTTTTGTACACATGATTAACATTTTTCACACACACGAATAACTTTTAAATTGTTCTAAAGATAATTTTTAATTATATGAATATTTTTTATATAATGTGTAAACATTTTTGGTACACATTACTAACACTTTTTGTACACATGTTTAACTGTTCTACTTTTTTTTCACATTTATACATTTCTCGTGTGCATCAGAAACATTTACTACACATATTCATTTTCAAATGCAAGAATTTTTTTAGAAAATAATTTAAAATTTATTTTGTAATTTACATATTTAGAATATTAGATAAATAAAGAAAGCAAAAGTTTGAAAAAAATATGTGAATAAAAAACAAAACAAACAAGTAACATGACGCCAGCATGTGAGTCCTCGTTACTGGGCGGCCCAATATGTGCGCCCCTGCAGGCGAGCCGTGTGGTAGGGGAGTGCTCCTAGCTGACGCTCGCGTGCGTCAACAGGAGCAGCTTTCGCGTAGGGAGTGAATCGAATTGGGCCGGCCCATTCATTAGCTTCAGTTAAATTAGCAAAAAAGGTTACTTAGTCATGGAATCAAACTCGCAACCAACGATACAAAGTCAGCCTTACTTACCAGTTGAGCTGATGATTATTAGTGATTACAGTGGTGCGAGAGTATTGAAGAACTAATCGCATCGGTAGATTAAAAAATCAAATAAATTTAACCATTGAATATCTTTTAAAATATACGATGAACAATTTTTAAATACACATTGCACTTTTGTGATATACACTGAACTTTTTTTAGCTATGCATTGAACATTTTTGTGATATACACTGAACATTTTTTAAGTACACAATGAACATTTTTTAAATACAATGAACATTTTATTAATATATGGTGAACATTTTGTTTAATGTATGATGAACATTTTTGTAATACACGATGAACATTTTCGTGATGCATAGTGAACTTTTCATAATGTACGGTTAAACATGTTTTTCGTATATGATGAATATTTTTGTAATAGGAGGTGACCTTTGAATTTAACACACAGGAAAGAGAAGAAGAAATAAAAAACAGAAAAAAAAACGAAAAAGAAAAAAACGAAAGGAAAAAAGGAACAAAAAAAAAACAGAACAAAACCAGTGAAGACCGGACAAAACATTGCAAAGAACCGGAAGCAAAAAAACACAGAAAAATAACGAACGAAACGACGAAGGAAGCTTTTGCGAACGGTTAAAACGCGAAACCTATACATGGGCCGGCCCACGCGGTGGCTTGCCTCAGCGAAAGGTCAACCTTTTGACGCTCACGGGCGTCAAATAGGTTCTGCCCTATTCTACTACACGCGAAACGCTATTTGGCGCTTATAGCTCAGAGTTATATGTGCGAACCAACCTGTGGTTGAATGGTTAGAGGGACTACAGTGACTTCGAAAATCTCAATATGATATGCCGGCTCAGTCTTTCGGAGGTGCTCATAGGGATAGGATGTGCGTGTGTGCGTTCATAGGGGTGAGTGTATGCGCGTGTATATGAGCGCTTGTGTCTGTATTGATGTTAAAAAAAAAGCTCAGAGTTATATGCGCTTCGTTTCTGTATGCAGTGCTCTCCTTTTTACCCTCACTGGTTTTATTATTTGGGTTCGTTTTCTTTGGTTTTTGGCCGGGTTCTGTTCATATTTTTAAAAAAAAAATTAATTCTCTCTACTTCTTTCGGTTCTCCTCTGGTTTTTTCTTCTGTTTTATTTTCGTTTTCGTTTTTATGTTCCATTTTTCTTTCCCTTTTTCATTTTAATTATTTCATTAACTTTTGTTTTCAAATTCGTGAATTTTTTGAAAATCATGACCAATTTTCAAATTCATAAGCCTTTTTCAATTTCGTGAAGATTTTCCAAATCCCTAAACTTCTTTCAAATTCATGAATGTATTTCAGATTTGTGAACTTTTTTCAAGTCCGTGAACTTTCTTTTGTTCATGAATATTTTAGAATCGTGAACTGTTTTCGAATTTATGACCTTTTCCCAAGTTCATGAACATTTTCTAAATCCACAAACTTTTTCAAATCCCTGAATGTTTTAGATTCATGATTTTTCCTGGGTTCATGACCATTTTCCTAATTCATGAACTTTTTCAGACCCACATACTGTTTTCCAATTTGTGAACAGTTGTCAAATTCCTGAACTTTTTGCAAATTGGCAAACATTTTTTAAATTTATGAGCAATATTTGTTCTTGAGAACATTTTTTTCCAATTCGCAAACATTTTCTTGTGTCCATGAACTTTTTTTTTCAAAATCCTTATCTTTCTAAAAACTTGCGAACATTTTTTTGAATATATGAATTTTTTTAATTGATGGAAAACCGGAAGTTTGCCTTTTTTCTGAACCATTAGCTTGCTGGTCTTTTTACGGACTAGTGCAACTGAATGATAGGGTTGGTGTAAAAAAGGCAATCGAACCAGCCAGCCACCGAGCGAACGAAGCCGAACAATATTTGGGCTGCAGCCTGCATGTTCGGTGGCGCCCGAAGTACCGTGATTCGTTGCTCACAAAGTCACAGATTGTATTAGAATGGAAATATAGGCTTCGAATATTCATTTCGGCTCTAGGGTCCAGATGTGGTCCTTATATGTTGACCGTTCGATCTCTCTAAGATTCACGCCAATCCCTTGTATCGTACTCACTCCGTCCGGAAGTATCTCCGGACGGAGCGAGTACACTGCAGACGATTATGCGCCGTATGGCTCGGTTCATGTACAAGATAATTATTTACTGTTGCATATTTCACAGGCGTAAATCCCTCCAAAACAACGATCCAAGCACGGCCTAGTAGTATTTTGTTGGAGCAATGAAAAACTGAAACATGGCACCTCCCATGTAGAGCAAAATAGCAGATCAGGCAAGCAACAAACAGAAATATTCATAATACAAAGATAACAGATATTATTACCCTCTTATTTGTGTAGATAAGATAAAACACTAGGAACAGGTCATTATAATTCAAAAGCAAAATGATATACTCGCAATAAAAAATGTTCAATACTATTACATTATCAAAGCTTGGTGTTTCAGTTCGCCAACATGCAAGCAAGATATCACACATAGATAGTTTATATAAGGGTAGGTGCAATGAAAATGTATCACCACAGCAATTGTTTTTTGGGCACACGGGTGTAACATGCCAAGCTCTCCTCATATAACATTGGAACACAAGGAATCATCTTAGAGTCCATTCTATTCAACTCCGCCGCTGGGTCTTCTTTGGAGCATGTCAAACTATTCGCTGATGAAGTTGAAGGCATATCAAGAAACTTATGGTGGTGTGGACTACAGCTTCTGACAACCGGCACCTGATCAAGTGAATACAAATTTTGAATTGCTTGCTCTACTGGATCGTACAGTCCTATTTTCCTTCCAGTGTTGAGCAGGATCCTCCCATGATCGCGATCAACAGCTAATGGCACCACCACACCTGTCTTAAGGGAGTATTCAGGATATGCTTCCAGGTGAATTGTGTATGCTCTGCCCCATTGGCCATGCTCTAGCTTCCATACATCTAATTTTTCTGCCATTGGATCTGCTAGAACAGCACATAACACTCCCTCGAGCTCAACAACAAATGCACGACAATGGTTTCTGCTATTCCATCTTGCAAACCACGAAGGGCAAGGGACGACATTGAAAATTCTTGTAGCAAGGTTGAAAGAAACAATGTTCCATTCACAGCTCTGTCCCAACCTTGGTTCACTCATCCAGTACAGCATTCCTTCCACATAGGCCGGTGGCATGTCATTCACAGGCAGAGGCGGTACCGAGCTCAGTTGGGGGCGATCCCGAGAGTCACACCAGCGTAACGTGCATCTCAGGTCATATTGACGAGATTTGAAGTCCTTCTGGCGATAGAAGATTGCCACGATAACATGTTGTTGAGTCAAAGGGTCGAAAGTCAAGCCAAAATTCTTATTGCCGACTGTGAAAGCATGCTCTTCTGCTTTAGGCATTCTCTGCAGCAAACCTGGCCCCAGCAAACCCCTGTGGAAACCTGTACATGGGTTGCAGAGATAGTCGTACGTCTCGGTGCTTACCAAGTTCAGCCCATGGCAAGGCTTGGAGCAAACCACCTTTGTATCAAGCAATGTACTGTTACTAGGAGCTTCTTGGAGGCATTTATTCAAGGGAGAAAAACTGAAGCCCAATTGTCCAGTGCCCTTGACCACAAGCATGACCTTAGGTCTTTTGTCCATGTTCTTATGCTGAAAGTATGACTGAATGAAGTTGTCACTCTTGATCAATCTGAACCACTGCTTGCACACAAATTTGGAGTGTATCACTGCTTTAGCTGGGAGGCGGAGTAGGATCTCTCCAGTCACCTTAGCCAGGTCAGATGACAAGGCTATCTCTTCATCTGTTTTATGCACAGGAGCAAGGGTATCTTGAATGAAACTAAACCTTGAACTTGGGGGCCCATAATATGGAGTTGAGTGTGTCTCCGTGATTGAAAGAATGGTTTCTAGAGCTTCGGACCTAGGGTCATAGGTGTGAACCATTTTCTGATACTTGTCGAAAATCTTGTGCTTGCTAGTAGTGATGACTATCTTCTTCCTTGGCGACCTGGAAGTGATGCCAAAACACCCAATAACTCTCAGAATTTCTGATTCGCGTAAATCTCTTGCCAGGTGGCTCGACAAATTGATCCGATGACTCAGTAACCAGTCACCAGAGCTATAGTCCGGCAGTTTCCAGATCTCCAAAACGTTAGCATAAAGGATTGTGTTGCGAGTATCTCGGACCAAACATAGTTGGTCATCCATCTCCACTAGTTGCTCTTTGGACAACCCATACCTGTTTGGCGGCGCTCCTGGTACCCAGAAGGGCGGGGACCGGAGACATGTGAAGGTCTCTTCTGCCACCGAGAAGGACACGATGGCAACACTTGGAGTCGTGATGAAAGAGGCAGGTCTCATCAACCAGTGAAGGCAACCGTTGGCAAACACAGGAGGTAATTTGTTCAATTCCGCATTTGTAACAGCAGCATATACAAACTGATGCAAGCTGGAGGGCACTCCTCCGGCAGGCGGCCTCCAGCGATCTCCAAAGCGGCCTCCAGGCGTGTAAACTTCACACCTCACCATGTCCTTCTGATAAGACAGCCCATTGATCAACCTCACCACTTTGTACTCATCTGCGCGGGCATCAAACCCCAGCCCAGCAGCGGATCTGGATGCTCGTTCCTCAGTGGACGCTGGCAGACGCGTAGCAGCTCGTGTTGCCGCGTTGCAGATGTAGAAAGCCGCGCCGACAGTGTCGTAGAGGAGGGTGAGGCCGTGGCATGGCACGGGGGTCACTACTTCCACACAGTTGCCACGGGCGCCATCCATGGTGAACAGTAGGTCCCCGCGATCTCTGGGGCGGCTAGATGATGATGATGGCGAGAAGGAGCACGAGTAGACCGCGGTGGAGTCAAATGTGGTAGTAGGTGAGATGTATAGCAGCTTGGGTGGTGGTGCCCGCCGCCTTGCATCCTTAGCTGCTGCCATATGGAGGCAGCGGAATTCATCGGAGGAGAGCAGCGCCTCCCAGGAGCGACAAACTGCCCGGAAGCGGAAGATAGATTTGACGGGGAGCCACTGCAGCACCTCTATGATAATGTCATACGGAATCGACGCCCCGCAACCATCTCGTGCATTGGCCATGTGAATTCTCCTCCTCTTCTTGACCTCCCTAGGCGTGATATCCTCTGCCCTGCTGCTATGCATCTTCATCGCCCAGTCGAGGTCTGAGATGCAATCAACACATGGAAAAATAACAAAAGGAAACCGACTACTATTAGTAAAGAGTACTCCATTAGAAACCGACTGCTATTAGTTATAATAAGAAAAGAAAAGAGAACGAGATCTGGTTGCTCGTCGACTAAAAAAAGAAGAAAAGAAACGGGAAGATGGAAAAAATACTTACCAATGGGAGGGGCCGAATCACGTCCAGCGGTCTCAGAGTTCCTTCAGTCCGAAAAATGATGATGCAATACAGATAAAACTATACACTATACTCATCAAGGAAAACAGAACAAAGACATGAAAAACATTATGTGAAGATAAGCATACAAGAATCATGAAACAATAATATTTGAGGTAGCTCTGAAACAACAATGTACATAGCAACAAACAAGCAAGAGAGCACAAAAGATAGTAGCTGTAGCTCTCCAGCACAATGTAAATTAGTTGACACAGCAATCAAATTCAGAGCTTTGTACAAATCTGAAGTTGTGCAGCGCACTACATAGATAAATCCCTTAAATATCAAATTTCCTTTTGCACAGCGACCATTGAAACTGAAGCTTGTTATAATAGTAATCATGGCTGATGCACTCTAATCCTTTCAACGAGTAATGACTTGGTGTTTTTTTAGACTGCGAACATTACAATCTACTGTACGTAGTAATTAGTTAAGGTCAACGATCCAAGCCATCACAGTTCTGGACTAGCTCTCCAAAACACCCATAATATCTCCTCCGTTACTGGTACCGTGAACTCTGCTGGGGATTTGACACCTACGCTGAAAATTTTGTACCTGTCTTGTTTTCCCCCTTAAACCAATCCAATCAGGATCCCTTCTGCAGCTTCGGTTGATGTTCGTCCAAGCTAGACTCGGCAACGGAGGTGTTGGACAGGGGAGAGAGAGGCGGAGAAGGGAACCGGGCGGGGAGGGAGGTACCTCTGAACGTCAACGGCGACGAGGGGCGGATCTCGATGGAGAGAGGCGGGCTGGAAGGCAAGTGCGCCGGCGGATCAAAACTGCACGGCGGGCACGAGTGCAAGAGGAGGCGGCGCCGGCAAAGATCCCTCTTTCTCCTTCCTTTTTTTAGAATCCAGATCCCTTTTCTCGAGAGAGGAACTTGGTTTATGTAGGGCTTTGTAGGGCCAGTTTTTTTTTTTTGCCGATTCTCCTAGAATCCAACCCTTACCCAGCTTCGAGTCTCATTTGTTTTACAATCCTATCGTGTTATTGGGCCAATTGGGCTTCATAGGGCTTTCTATAAGGTATTATTTTTTTCCATAAATAAACTGATTTATTGTGTTCATAAATAAACTGATTTATAATTAGTATTAACTGTGTGGAATTTGGAGATATTTATTTATTCAATTCAATTCAACAAAAGCGCATCCGAAACAATCAGTCATTATTATATCGCTAAGGCTAGTCATAGTGGGAGTAACTTAGGTAGTAACATAACACCTCCTAAGACAAATTTGCTTATGTGGCATAGAGTTATGAGGAGAGAGATGCTTGTGGTAAAGCTACTGATAGTGGGGAGTATCATGCATATGATACTGGTCTATAATACTATCTTCGTAGTGCATAGTATCATAGATTAATGTCATAAATCATCTTATTTATTGCCATGCATGACACCTAGTAACATAACATTTATTATGATACGGTATCTAGCTACGTTACTTTAACCCTCTCTCTCTTTTAATTGCCTATCACATAAGCATGTTTGCTAGTCCCAAATGCATGATACCGGTATTGTTACCCCCACTATGGCCAGCCTAACATAATATGTTACTGTAACATAACACACCCCGAGGTAAAAATGAGTCTATATCTCAATTAGTGAAGACTTGCGTGTTACCATCTATATTTTTTTTCTCGAATATGCACGAGTGTGCATATTATATACTCCCTTCGTTCCTTTATATAAGGTGTATTTATTTTTTGATAAAAATCCAGAATGTAAGGTGCATTTCTTCTAATTCCTCATAATTCCCTTTTAGCCCTCCAGAAAAAGGGTAAGTATCTCTCTCCTGATTGTCTGTATCTCTCCTTGTAGCAAAAGAATGAAACTATCTCTTTGTCGATTGCATGCATCTCATACTTTCCTTGGCTAACTGATTTACTTGCCACTAACAAATAAATTTGCCAAGGGTAATTTCATCCTAACATTTCTATAATTCTATGCCTTGGTCACCGTGCCAAAAATAATACACCTTACATAAAGGAACGGAGGGAGTATTAAAGAAAAAAAGGCAAAAGAGTGCCTCCACCATAGTTTTACAAGGGTTTCGTTACAACTTACTCCTCACTACTCGCCCACCTATGTAAACTACGGAAGAAAGGGTCAACATTCCCTTTAAACTTGCCAGCTCCAAACCAAACCATGCCTTCGGACCTCACCCTACTTAGGAGCACACTCATCGAAGGAGTTACTCCGTCAAATACAATAGCATTGCGATGTTTCCATAGTTCCCAAAGTGTTAGAATGAAGATTGTACGTAGATCCTTCCTCCGCAGGTTGTTCGGCCCTTGCTTCTCCCGTAGCCATTGAAGGAAATATGCCCTAGAGGCAATAATAAAGTTATTATTTATTTCCTCATATCATGATAAATGTTTATTATTCATGCTAGAATTGTATTAACCGGAAACATAATACATGTGTGAATACATAGACAAACTATAGTCACTAGTATGCCTCTACTTGACTAGCTCATTAATCAAAGATGGTTATGTTTCCTGACCATATACATGTGTTGTCATTTGATTAGTGGGATCACATCATTAGAAGAATGATGTGATTGACATGACCCATTTTGTTAGCCTAGCACTTGATCGTTTAGTATACTGCTATTGCTTTCTTCATGACTTATACAAAGTTCCTGCAACTATGAGATTG